CGATTAAATTTTTGGACTAGATGTATTTGAATGTTTAAATATTGCTAGTTTTATTTTCCGTCATTGTTTTCACTACCATGTACTTGCATTCTCTGACTTTTTTCCTTACTTACAGGATAACTTGTTTCTGTGGGTAAGTATGCTCTCCTTATATAATTTTATCTATAAATGTGTTTAAGTACACAATGTACCTGTAAGAATAAACAGAGCATTCATCTGTTGGACTAGACGATGTGAAGGTAAACAATTTGCATTTGCTTTGCAAATGTTACCTTTCTAGGTTTAAAATGCATTTTTTCTTAATTACAGGATGTGAAGCTGACAAATATTGACCCAAACTGTCCACTAGGAAAAGACCTACAGCAGTATGCAAAACAGCACCAGGAGGAGGTGAGTTTTAACTCTTCATACAGATGTTTTGATCACAGGTTATTTTCTTGTTTTCATGGCCTTTTCTATGATCATTCTATGTATTCCTAGTGGTGGCTGCAATCTCCTTCAATTTGCTCCCTGTATTCAATGAGGTTCAATGTGAAAGTAACTAGAAGGATAACATGTACAAAGCAAACACATAATGTTTACCTTCACACGGTCTAGCTTAAGAAACCACTGCTCTGTTTATTCTTACTCAAGCATATTCATATACTAGACTAGTATATGTTGACCAGCCTCTGCAACTCTGTCCTGCTACACAATGTAACGGTACCCAACATCACAGGGTGTCCTTACAGTACCAGTTACCATGGTGACAGCCATCTGGTTCATGACATTGACCACATGTGTTTGGAGAAGAAGAAACTGAGCAAAAACAAATATGTTTTCCTTCTGAGAAGGTAAACGTACCAAATGTGCAATTAAACACTTGTAATGTAAAGATTGCGATCTATTTTTCTTTCTTTGTTTTATTCCGTAGCCTGTTATCAAAATGGAGATGAAGTTTCCCCCGGACTACCCCATGGCCCCCCCTTTTGTCAGAGTGCTGAAGCCCAGGTTCAAGTTCCTGACAGGTCATGTGACCATTGGAGGCAGCATCTGCATGGAGATGTTAACCAGATCGGGGTGGCGGCCAACCAATGACATCGAGGTAAACAAGAATTTGAAGAAATCAGAGATTTCAGACTTCCTGAAGTTTTTAAAGTTTTTCGTATGTATAGTAACTGTGGCAGAGATTGGATTATGTAATTTAACTGGATCATTCTACATACCACTTTGTTACTTACTTGTGGGTCACCTTCAGGCTTGTACCTCCTTATCAATCAAATGTTACAATCAACCTGTTTAAGTGTTCACCTCTACATAAGGACCATCTGGACAATGTGACCACCAAGATCATTTTTTTCCATTGACACAAGCAATAGAAATTCTGTCAATAGTGACCACTTCTTAGCCTGGGTGCCATCCTACAATGTATTTGTATGCCGGGGCTCCTATACTCCCCCCTAAGAAATATTTAAGAAATATTTCTTAGGGGGAGTATGGGAGCCCAGGCTAACCACTTCTCCCCACAGTCCAGGTTTTTGTCGATCCCTTGAGTGGTCTTCTTGGTACATGTACTGTATTATGAAAAGCTGTATTTTTTCCTCCAATCCACAGAGTATACTGGTACAGATTCGTGCAGAGATTCTATCAGACAACAACGCCAGACTAGACAACAAGAACCCCAACTGGGAATACACCGAGAGCGAAGCTAAGACAGCGTTCCATCGGATGGTCAACAGATATGGGTGGGAATGACCGACCACCTTCCAAAACATTCCAGTAACTTTTTAGGGCTGTTATATGTGTATGTGTAAAGGGAGAACGACTGAAGTACTAGTAATTTTTTGTTGCCCCAAAAATGAATGCAAATACTGTTTTATTTTTGTTGCACAGCATAGTAGGAAACACGGAAATTTCATGTCCTATTCCTAGAAATTGTAGCAATGGAAATTTTGTGGAACAATAACAAAGTTTGTCAGGTGTATGCTTGGCTAAATCATGCCCCTGTGGTTGGCACTGGTCCTCTAGACACTTTTCCACTAGGATATACTTGAATACTTGTCCAGATTAAGCTAGACTTTCCTTTGGCAACTGCCTGAACTGCATGAGAGTGTTGTTGCAATAATGTGTCAGAGGAGTGACAGAGGAGTCTTTGGGCCTTTTCCCACTAGGATAAAATTTTTCCAGATCGAGCCAAATTGATTCGCTTTGATCCGGCTTCAAGCTGGCTTCGAGTCGGATTGAAGCCAGATCAAAGGAAATCAATCCGGCTCAATCCGGACAATTTTACGCTAGTTGGAAAGGGGCCTATATCTCCTCTCTGGTGACCCATGTAGATTCCCTGGTCCAACTAGCCAGGTGTACATGTAGGGAAGCGCTGTTTCAAAATTACTAACTTTTAAAGATTTCTGACTTTATTCTTAATTAACATTTTACTCTATTTTTTATGCTCATTTGTGACTTTTTCCTTCCTTGAGGTGTAATAATATGTGTTGATTATGTCCACAGTTTTGCTAATGGAATGATGGAATTGTCATTTAAAGTTTCCATTGCTGAAAAAAGCTGTGATCTATTATATAAATTCAAGATGCCATGAATTGTACATTCAGGTATATGACTGTGTATGAACTGGAAGAGAAGTACTGGTCATGTTACAAAGGATATTTTTGTATCATTTATTCCTTATCTATTCAAGTTGACATTCCAGGTTGCTGATGTTGGAGTCTCTGTAGCCCCTGTTTTAAGTAAGAACGAATGTGTACAAGAAACATATCCTACATTATAAGCTATGTAACAAAGATATCAAAAATATAGCACACAGTGTATAGAATCCAATACTAAACAAAAAATAGTGTAATATTACATTACTATCATACATTCCACTTGAGAAAGATTTAAATGTACACAGTAGTATGGACCAATAAGATTAAATAAAGAAACAGAAATTACATTTTGTATGTTGTTTCTGGGATTGTGAAAAGATATTGGAGTGGCCAATGGTTCTAAGGACCTAGATGTATTATACAATATATATGTTCTGCCTCATATTTTTACTTGTCTAAGTTTTGTTTCCTATTGGACTTCCAAAAAATTGTCTTCAGTTATTTGCATAAACCTGCATTTCTTCTGCAATCTCTAGTGTCACTGACAAAAGGTAGTGAATGCTACCTGAAACATCTGACCGTTTCCAAAACCATATCCAGTTGCTTGAGTAACTCTAGTTTTTGGCATATCTTATTACCTTCACCAATGCTCTGCTGTTCTGCCTCATATTTTACATGCACATGTTCCCTGTCCGGATGTTTGAACGTCTTGCTGTGAGTTGGGCTCGGCCAAGTTTATACCCTTCACTTCATCAAAGCTGTAGTCTTCAAGTACTGATTCAGCGAGTTTGGCAAACATGTCCTCCACTCCTGCACATGTTTTGGCAGACACTCTGAACGTGCCTACAACGTCCAGTGGACAAGTTCTGCTGTATGTTTTTACTTCTTCTTCTGATACAACTTCTGCTGAATCTGTCGTGAGATCGCTTTTGTTTCCTGCAGGAAGAAAAACAAAACAACAAATGTAAAAGGGAACCTACTGTTTATAGTACTACATATATATTATTACAACAATTCAAGGCAAATCTAATATGCTGATTTAAGTGTTAAGCATGGAGCAGGGAAAGGTAGCACAGGAAAAGTATAATCTGAATGTTTAGTTTGGACAATTACAAGACAAATATTTGCATGTGTGTCTGACAAAGTATACTTTACCTTCAGCCTACATTATAAAGTCAATCTGCAGTACAAAAATCTGACAACAGGGAGCACTTTTCCTCTTGTACATGTGTATTTTTTGTGTGTCTGTGTATGTACTTGTGTATCTGTGTTTGTGTGTGTGTGTCTGTATACGTACTTGTGTATCTGTGTGCGTGTTTGTGTACCTCTGTGTGCGTGCATGTGTGTGTGTATGTGTACCTGTGTGTGTGTGTGTGTGTGTGTACCTGTGTGTGTACCAGTGTGTGTGTGTCTAAAATGTATGTGTCTACTACAAATGTCTTATAATCTTAGGTACTACATACAATGTATACCTACCAACAAGAAATGCCTTTACTCTGTTATTCCGTAACGTTACACTGGGAACCCAGGTGTGTTCCAGGTTATCGAATGTTTCCCTGTCCATCACATCGTACACAAGAAGAACTCCGACGGCCTTGCGGTAATAATTCTCCGTCAGAGACAACATACGCTCCACACCGGCTGTGTCCCATAAGGAAATCTATGTCAGGAAAAACAAAGGAAATGTTCTTTTCAACAGACTTGCAATTGCTTTATCAGAACAGTTACACCCTTAAAGTACTAGTAACACTGGCAACACTGTTCTGGCAACTCAACCTACCCCCCCCCCCTTAACTTAACATACCCAAGATGGTACATGTGAACAATGAGCATCTGTGTATAACGTACATAAAGGTAACCTCCATTTGCAAGGGTACAATAGACAGCAGGTGCACATGACTGTGCATCACATGTACAAGGTGTAATCTAGAGGAACACCTGTTGGAATACACACTCACAACAGACACACCTGTAACACAATTTGAAATTTCGGAGGCTAGAAATATGAGAAATATTTTCTAGTATTGTAAATAATTTGTCAGCGTTTGATAGTGGCACGAGGAACAACAAACACTAATCCTCCCTACATCTGCTTGGTGTACTATGTAACCCCACCTGTCCTCAACTTAATACGTCACTTGACCTGTTAGTTTCCATGTCATGTATAGTCACGACTCACGCATGCTAATGTAATGGGATTGTGGTAGTGTAGCTATCCACGCTTAAAACTAAATCCTAGAACCACAGCACGTCGTAAACGGTCGTAATAAAGTCGTAAAAAAGTTCGCATACCCGTACGTTGTTGTACCCGACTTGGAACTCTCGGATATCGCTGGCCCGGGGCTGAACTGTTGTCGGTACGGAAGTTAGGAAGTCTTCGCCGCAGAACCGAGCAAACAGCGACGATTTCCCCACTCCTGCGTCGCCTAGGAGAACTACTTTCTTGATCGGCGTCGTGAGATTTCGGTAAAATCTAGAAACGGGGCGGTTTTGAGACATGTTTGGGCGAGGCGAGCAGCCCAGGAAGTAGAAAATGGTGGGCCACGGGGGGATTGTGTTATCGCAGGGTGTTGTTTGACTGTCAGGGGTCACTGAACTTAGGAAGGATCAATGAGCTCTTGGGGGCTTTAGGCGAAATGTTATCTCGACTTTCATCTACTACTAAGGAAACAAGGCGGCACCTGTTGTAAATGGCGTCACTCTGTAGGTTTATGACCTATAATTTTAGCCGTAAAAGAACAAATTCAGTTGCCAGTGTTGATTTCATCACACTGCTGTATTCAAATTTCAGGGACCATTCTAACCAGACCCTCAAATTGCAGGCGGGTCTATCCGTCCGTGAAATGACAAACTTTAAAGTTGTACTGGCATCAGGCAATTGGAGTGTTATTAAGGACACTGCAGTTAAGGACTATAGGAAGAATAGCCTAGGTGGGAAGCTAGCTAAATTGTGGATCCTAATAAAGTCAAAGGCATTGTGTTAAAGTTTTCCTTGAAGAGAGCAAAATGAGTTGACCCTGAAGAAACATAATTAAGAAAAGTGTAAATCAAGGTGGCAACATCATAGCAAACTATATAACGTTTTGAGTACCAAGTTTCTTTTGTCTTAACTTTATTGACTTATTATGCTTTAAGTAATTTCTAACGAAACATTAAGTAAGCAATATTATAGGTACAATGTGACTCAGGGAAATGAGTCTCGTATAGGCAAGATGGAGAAAGAATTCCTTTCATCTTTTGTTATGATTTCATCAGTACATGAACGGCATACTCTCAATCGCAGAGAGCTTGGATCAAAGAGACACAATCTAAGCGTGGTACGAAAAATTTCCAGGTGTTTTGCTGAAGTGTTGAATATTAAGTTTAATCCTAGGATATTATAACGTCCTTGCATGCTTAATCCAACACAGTAGACAATCAATTCGGGCACATTTATTTTTAACAAAACGCCCAATACGTGTTGCAGCGAAGGACATACACATCTGTGACTGCGATGGTGCGAAACATGGCGCTGCTCTGCTTACTTCTTGTGATCTCCAATCACCTACTGCTCACATCCGCACCAGCTTTACAGAGCCCTGACAACTGTCGCTGCACCCTCCTTGCCCTTTGTCGCTGCCCAGATACTAGTAGAATTTCGGGGGGAACTTCGTGCAGTTGGATTGGATACGGAGGGACATACAGCTTCCCCCTATGTCTCGACGCCATACCAACCGACTTCGACAAAGCCACGCGGTCCATCTTCATCTACCATCTCCGGTCTCCCGTGATTTTGGAGCGGTCTTTCCCCAACAGCCCAGACGTAAAGTTGCTCCAAATCCAAAAGTCCAACGTTTCCAGGATCCAGCCAGGGGCTTTCCGAGGTCTCCCCTTGGTCTCCAGGCTTTATCTTGACGACAACCGCATCTCCCGTCTTGGTAGGTTGACAAATTTCAATTCAATTCCATTTATTTATTTAACCAGTAATTACAGCTCAGGCCATTTTGGCCTGCTTTTCAGGTAATCCTGGATACACACACAACAAATACACAGTACATAAACAATTAATTACTAAATACAACATCCTAAACATCAACTGGATGTACATATATGTACACATGTACAACTAGAGTTCGGAGGGCTCATGCCTTCGACAGTGTGATATTGTTTTGGTGGGTGTTGTGTGTATGTATAGTGTAGGCTTTTTGAAGATGATTATCGTAGTTATAATGGTCCGAGAGTCTTTTTGTGAACGAAGCAACATACTATTTACCTAGCCTGTACCATGTCTTTCTACGGAATGTAGAATTCGTCATTTGGTACAGGGGTGCCTTGAGCATATGCTCAAAGAATGACATTTTGCAGCTTTGGCATACATCATTTGAAAATGGTGTGAAACAGGTCTCTTCTGCTACTTTCAGACAAAAAATGTACATTTTTGGCTCCTGTGACCTAATATTACAACCAAATGACCTAAAATTTGGTACAATGTATAGGAGTGCCTTTGACGTATGCCAAAGAGCTATACTCACATTTTTGGTAAACACTACTTTGAATTTGTGTAAAATAAGTTTTTCTGCTCTTTCCAGACAAAATGCTTTTATGCCCTTGTATTAAAACCAAACGACCTGAAATTTGTTATAGATGTGTCTTAGGCAAATGCCAAATGAACTTAAGACATAGTTTGGCATACACCACTATAAAATTGTGTAAAATGGGTCTTTTTTGCTATGCCCAAAGAACAGAGCTAGCAATGCTGTAAGGTAGCAGCACACAGTATTAATGGGCGACCCCAGGAGTCTGTGACGCGGGTATAGAAAGTAGTACAGCGAATATTCTTGAAGACTGGGTAGAAAGCCTGATAAGAGCGTCAGCCAGACGTAAATTGCGCTGTGTGGTGTAGGAATGTATCGGGTTTGAGACTGTATGATTTGAATTGTAAAGATTTTGCAGTTCGTGTATAAATGCGCCGTATTACGCAACTGGCTTTCCAGGTGAGTCGGCTGCAGTTCAGGTCACGTCCGTAGAGAGCGCTTTCAAAGTGCAAATCGTCATGCGCAGAACGATTTATTTTGGTACTTCTTTTTTAGATAATTTTTTTTCCTGGGCAAATTTTGCTCAGAAAGGCCCAGTTTTCTGATAAGAAGGACAGAAGAATGTATATTTTTAAAATATGGCCAAAAAGTCTGACATTTTTCATGGTTTGACCTGTTATTGGCCTTTAAAAACGTGTGATCTTGTTACCTGCTATTAGCTGCGTGTATTAGCGATGGCTTTGGGATTTCATCTCCCTTTTGAGTATTTGAGGATCTACCGGCAAAACAGATGGGTTTTGATAGCCTATAGTCTGTCAACAGCATAACTTGAGAAAGCTTAGGTGGATTATCTTGATATTTGGTAGGTGGGTAGGTCTTGATGAGACCTGGAAATGATTAGACTTTGGACCCCCTAGCGGCTTGTTGTGGTACTGCAGCTGAACTTCCGGTTTTGATATCTCATGATCTACACATGCTGGGGTGACGAAATCTGGATGGTAGGTAGCTCTTTTGCTGGGGAGGAAGTGGCGTGAGCTTGGGCCCCCTAGCGGCTTGCTCAGGAACTGCAGGGCTATCTGTTTGACAATATTCAGAAGAGGATAACTCAAGAACCGGTGGACGGATCGTCGTGATTTTTTGGATGTAGGTAGCTTACGTGATGGTCGGTATAATTATGCGGCAATTATGCAAATCTGGATGTAATTTGCATAATTAATGGAGAAATTCTATAAATCAGCTGCATTACATTGTGTGACATGTAATTGAGAACGAGAGAAACACAGGCAGATATTGATTATGTAAATTAACACTTAATTTTTTTATACTTGGGGTTGCTGGTGTTTTTTCAAAATTTAAAGTGACCAGTGTTACTGCAGTAACGTACATGTACGGACCTCCCACGACGCCCTTTTCTGAACTTGATCTTCCTATCGTCAACGGTAACTTGCTCAGCAAAAATCGTGAACATCCATTCGCAGATTCACGAATTATCCCGCTAACAACAATAACGAACACCACAAAAGGTCAAATTCAATGACATGGGAACCCCCCACGAGGCCCATATCCGAACTTGACCTCCGTATACTCGACGGCGACTTGCCCACTGAAAATCATAGACAACCACTTAAGGATTCCCGAGTTATCTAGGGAACAACAAAAAAACGCAAAAACAAAAGGTCACCTCCAGTCACGTAAGAACCCCCCCCCCCCCCCGAAGCCCATTTCTGGCCTTCACAATGCCCGTCAGTAAGACTACCTGCCTGCCAAAAAAAGTGAACCACGGACCATGCCTTCAAACTTTATCGTGCATAATCTACAAAACAGGCCGAAAGTGATTCCATAGCCTTCTCGTCGAAGGCAAAAATGTACATGTGTATGTTGGCTATTGATATTTAGGGGAGGTGGAGATACACACATGGCCAACGATTTTTTTTAGTATTGGGGGGTTATTTTCACCAAAAAATATACAAAAAACATATATTTTGGGCTCCTGCTCCATGATACCAAAGTAAAATATCGTAATAATGTGCGTAAATTGTATATTCGTGCTTATCTTTAGTTTTCTTTCACTAATTGTGTACAGGTCTTAAAAATGGTAATGTTTTATTCAATTTTCTGAAGTCATTTGATTTATTTTGAAACCATAAGAATATCACTTGTATTTCATGCTTGGGATTTGACAACAAAAAAATAGTTAAAAAATAATCTACATGTAAAATGACCGGTATGACGAATCATTTTTAGATTCTCGATGATTGAGTTTGTTGTCATCATCTTGAATATCACCAACCGTAAATCCCTACGAAATCGACTTATGCTAAGTTACAGTAACGTTGTTCTTAGCACGAAAGTTCATATGTGTTGGTATACTTCATTATGACAAAAAAGGGTTAAATGTTGTTTCCAACACTGAGTAAATTGGGACTTACCCAAATTTTCGGCCGACTCTGTCGGACCCTGTGACGTCGGAAACACCTGATTGCAGCAGAGGGCCGTACGTGTCAGATAACCTGTGTCGCCCCCCGTCTCTGTTCAGTTTTGGGCGGTTGGCCCGAATGTACACCGCCTCCTTTACTCCTCTCGCAAAGAAATCCGGTTCTGACGGTCCAGAATTTGGGTAAGTCCCAATTTACTCAGTGTTGGAAAGAACGTTCAACCCTTTCAGTCATTATAGTATTCTGTTTTGTTTATCTACAGAATCTGATACCTTCATCGGGCTTGAGAAGGTAACAGACATAAACCTTAAAAAGAACGCCATTTCCGTCATATCCCCGCATGCATTCCGCGGCCTACCCGCCCTTGCCTGGTTGGTGTTGCGTTTGAACCGCCTGCGTTCTGTGCCCGTCGACGCACTCCTGCCGCTTCCGGCACTGAAGATTGTACACCTCAACAAGAACCACATCACGACGATCGACAGCCAAATCCTGCGTCTGAGACACAACCAGTCCGTACGTCTGGTGTTAGCAGGTAACCGCCTGAAATGTGATGCGAATCTCACCTGGTTCATCTGTAATCTACCAGACATGGACTACATTTCTGGTCCTGAACTCCTAAAGTGTGCGTCACCTGCCAACCTGAGCGGCATTCTGCTTGCCACCGTGAGGAAGGACATCAGTCAGACCAACACGGACTGGTCACCACAGGGGATCAGGCTGGGGAGATGTGATGAAACGTCCACCACAACAGGTCCGCATCCCCACTACACCAGCCTGCACATTCCCACAGAAATGGCTAACACCAGGCCAGGCGCAGATCTAGAGCCTAGCACAGAGTCTGACGTTGCCACTTCTTTCGGTGGCCCAATCATCACTGAGGAAGACGACAGTTACCACGTTAATGCCGTCGTCACTGCTGTTATTGTGCCCCTCCTGATGGTGTTGGCAGCGGGGGCTGTTGTCTACTTGTACGAACGTCACGGCACAGGTCTGGCCCCTCACAACGCTCCTGCTGAAACAGATGGAAGCCAAAAGATTGAGCCGTACGCTGTTGCCTACTCAAACTCTGCCGGACTGCGAGCATCAGGCAGACAAACAAGTCCTTCTCAGGACCAGACAGTAGGGGACAACGATGACATTGAGCCGTACGCTGTGTCATACATGGATGTGTCGGGGAAAGGGAAAAACGGCAAGCTTGCACCGTACGCAACAACTTCCTTGGCTAACATCCAGCCTATAGAAGACAACGATGGCATCCAGCCAATTGAAGACAACGATGACATTGAGCCGTACGCTGTGTCATACATGGATGTGTCGTGCAAAGGGAAAAACGGCAAGCTTGCACCGTACGCAACAACCTCCTTTGCTAACATCCAGCCAATAGAAGACAATGATGACATTGAGCCGTACGCTGTGTCATACATGGATGTGTCGTGCAAAGGGAAAAATGGCAAGCTTTTTCCGTATGCAACAACCTCCATCAATGAAGACCCAGGGCCACAGCTTCAGCCGTACGCAGTGACCTACGATGAAGACCCAGGGCCACAGCTTCAGCCGTACGCAGTGACCCATGATGAAGACCCAGGGCCACGGCTTCAGCCGTACGCAGTGACCGACGAAGGGCCACAGCTTCAGCCGTACTCAATGACTCACGATGAAGACAGAGTACCATTCTCCCAACAAAGGAGTCAGTCACTGCCAAGAGTCCATACAGGGGCAGGTTATATGTCACTTACAAATGTCACTAACCAACAGACAACAAACGTCAAACAACCAACCAGCCACCCAAACAAGGAGTCAGTCACTACCACGAGGCTACATAGGGGCAGGTTATATGTCACTAACAAATGTCACAACGGTTCACGGTCGTTGCGAAAGTTCGGACAGCACATCTCCCAAACTGTACAGCACAACTCAGGGTCAGTGTGAAAGTTCAGACAGCACATCTCCCAAACTGTACAGCACAGCTCACGAGCAGCAGGAAAGTTCGGACAGCACATCTCCCAAACTGTACAGCACGGCTCAAGGTCAGCGTGAAAGTTCGGATAGCACATCTCCCAAACTGTACAGCACCACTCACGAGCAGCGGGAAAGTTCGGATAGCACATCTCACAAACTGTACAGCACAGCTCACGAGCAGCAGGAAAGTTCGGACAGCACAGCTCCCAAACTATATAGCATAGCTGAAGGTCAGCGTGAAAGTTCGGACAGCACATCTCCCAAACTATATAGCACAGCTCAAGGTCAGCGTGAAAGTTCGGACAGCACATCTCACAAACTGTACAGCACAGCTCAAGGTCAGCGTGAAAGTTCGGACAGCACATCTCCCAAACTGTACAGCACAGCTCAAGGTCAGCGTGAAAGTTCGGACAGCACATCTCCCAAACTGTACAGCACAGCTCAAGGTCAGCGTGAAAGTTCGGATAGCACAGCTCCCAAACTGTACAGCAGGGCTCAAGGTCAGCGTGAAAGTTCGGACAGCACATCTCCCAAACTGTACAGCACAGCTCAAGGTCAGCGTGAAAGTTCGGACAGCACATCTCACAAACTGTACAGCAGGGCTCAAGGTCAGCGGGAAAGTTCGGACAGCACATCTCCCAAACTGTACAGCACAGCTCAAGGTCAGCGTGAAAGTTCGGACAGCACATCTCACAAACTGTACAGCACAGCTCAAGGTCAACGTGAAAGTTCGGACAGCACATCTCCCAAACTGTACAGCACAGCTGAGGGTCAGCGTGAAAGTTCGGACAGCACATCTCCCAAACTGTACGGCACAGCTCAAGGTCAGCGTGAAAGTTCGGACAGCACATCTCCCAAACTGTACAGCACAGCTCAAGGTCAGCGTGAAAGTTCGGACAGCACATCTCCCAAACTGTACAGCACGGCTCAAGGTCAGCGTGAAAGTTCGGACAGCACATCTCCCAAACTGTACAGCACAACTCAAGGTCAACGTGAAAGTTCGGACAGCACATCTCCCAAACTGTACAGCACAACTCATTAGGACAGCCTGAGAGTTTGGTCAATAACTCCGGAAGTTGAAAGTCGTAAAATGTGGCGAAGCCATGCTGCATTTGCTCCAAAGCAAATGTCGACCTTTCTCACGGAGTTGCTGGGAAAAAATCCCTGGGTAACGACTTGTAAGGTAAAAAAAAGCTTAGTACCTGATCTCTCCGAAAAATGAAAAAAAAAAACGAAAAAGAAACAAACGCTTTTCCGCTATCACAGGTGAAGCAACTTTGAAATTGCATATAGAGCGCAGCTATTTGGGTCATCAGGCGACAAAACCTCATTACCTTTGCTCGCGGACTAATACAAAAAAAGTTTCGTTGGCCGACAGACTTTGCCACATAAGAAAATACGACAATTGACATTTTTTTTCGGTGAAAATCGGTGAATTCAAAGACTATTCGCACATCTATAACGATCACGGAGCAATGTGAAGCGAAACTGAGCAGGACAACCACGTAGTTTCGGCGATTTACCGCGCACTACTTACTCGAACTCTGGCCCGGAAAGACACACAAGTCGGAAATCGACATTCGAGCAACAAGCAACTGGATAGGTTTTGAAAATTCAGACGACAGCCGTTTAAAGTAGCGTCAGCAGCCACTACTTTCCGTCAGTGTCTAACGGAATCTGTAGTTGAACAGGTACGGTATTCATCCCAAAAGTATGAATTGATATAAACTTCGGAACTTGGAAGAGTGAAAGTTACGGCAACTCCTCTGCCATTTTCCTAGCCTGGGTGCCATCCCCAGTAGTATTCGCCCGCTAGCTTACAACTGGTAGCTAGCGACATTATAGAGCGGGCGAATACTACTGGGGATGGTACCCAGGCTAAGAAAATGGCAGAGGAGTTGCCGTTATAATTTGCTAATCTCTAAGCAGATATTTCGGTGGGGGAAAACAGTATCAAATTGGCCAGTCGGTTACGCATGTTCTTCGGTGGGGAAATGCATACAAACTATACTGTCTTCCCCCACCGAAAAATCTGCTTGGAGATTAATAATTTGCTACTAGTAGGTCTGCAGTGTTGTTTCTACCTTCCATTTAGTGGCTGACTGGTCTCTCCAATGTATTACAAAAGTGTTGGTCAGGGTCACATACAGTGTTGTTTTCGTTGTTTAGGTGCAACATGTAAAAGACACCACTTTCCACATCTTCAAACTCTTTGCTATTTCGCATTGAATGTAGTGGACCTTGGGGAGCAGACTAAAGCTAACAAGGCTGGAAAGTCCAGGCCCGGAACCAGTTGCAGTTTTGGCCTTCACAGGAAGGGGGAGCTGCTGATACATAGACATCAGGTAACGTTACATGCTGCCCATGGTATGAACACATGATAATTTTCAGTGTTACCTGCACCAGTTAAGGTAATGATTATGCGGAAAAATATTTCGAACCCTGCTTTTCCAATGTCTATTGGTCAATAGATAAGACCTGAGACACCCTGTACAATGAAATGACAACCCCTACGGTGCTTCCATACTAGATGTAATTAGTATGAAAAGTAAGCCAGGCTTAACAAGAAAGTTACAGATAGCAGTCTCTCCTATCGCTGTCTCGGCTATCGCCCCAGCCCAGACTGAGCTGGTCAGACCAATGTTATTACACAACTCTCACCACTCCCTGATATTCTAGATTCGTTTACGTTTGTAGGGACCTAATTTTGCAGTTGGTGAGAATGTAACAGTGTTCCCTGTTTGTGACGGAAACAGAGCTCACTGGAGGTGATGAAAACCCGTGAACATAAAATTACCTGTCTTCAGTTTCCTGCTATATGATGAAAAATGCAAGTTAGTAGTAGACACAATCAACAAGAAATTCACAAGAATGAATGAATGAATAATTCACCACAATGTTTCACATGTGTGAGATCTAATTTGCCTCTCAAAACTGGGGAATAGTCTGTCGGGAACACTTCTTGGCTGTGATACTTTGATACTGACAACCCCCAAAATATTGAACTCTAGGTGTGAGTCAGAGATCTTTGATTTCTTGTTGAAATTTGCCTCTCAAAACTGGGGAATAACTCCCTCTACAGTCAAGTCTGCCAAGAACACTTCCCAGCTGTGGTACTTTATAAAATATACTGACAGCAGTAGACTACATCCCTTTGGTCTTATTAGCAGAATTTACTTATCTTAACTCCAGTTTCATTTAGCCTAATTAACAGGAACTACCACTTGTACGAGGCCTGCCAAATCTCACGCACACAGGAAATCTGTGCAGTACACTTTAGTTTTAGGGATGCTGAAATGTATCAGCAAATGTCTGCATCTGTCACTGTTTGGAATTTAGTTGCCTTTTTTGTGACAGTCATTTTTTAATCAGATTAGGTCTGCCCAGTTACAGGAGGGGTTCTTTAAATTCAAACGAAACGTTTCTTTGAGGAGAAAACAATGGATAATCATTGATTTGTGGATTGATAAATGGGAGCACAATTTGGACATGACCACAGCAAAAAATTTGAGATTCGTGCTACGAGGACGGCCCCAGAGTGGTCATTCGCAAAAAAGATGCCCCTAATTTTTATCATTGTATTGACTGGTATCACCTACATTTGAAACACAGTATAAAAGAAATGATGGCAATGGTTTCTGAACAGTTTTTAGTATGATCAATATGTAAAAAAGTGCAGGTAAGATTTGTCTGGTGCAGGTAATTTTCAAAGTTACCTGCGCAGAAAAAATTTAAAGCCATGAAAGTGACATTCATCTTCAATGTTGGATTTTCTTCACATGTAGGACAACCTCTGTGAGTGGCTGAATTCAATGGAGAGTCCTGATCCTGATGGAAACATGAAGATTAACATACCAGACCCCAGCCGAGGTGAGAACCAGACAGAGTCTGTTTAGGCCTTGCGGGAAAAAAGTTTGTGTTTCATGTTTCAGTCCTTAAAAAATTAGGGTCGGTAGGTATGGATCATCTTCTTTTTTTCTTCTTTTTTTTTTAGACTTTGGCGATCTCTAGTGACTTATGCAATGCAGTTTAACAAAGTAAAACTTTCATGAAGACACTGATATTTTCAATATCAATTTTGGAAAACTGATTGTACAACATTTCATCACTCAAATGACAGATCATGGAGGAAGAAATGGTCGATCAGCTCAAAATTTATGTCCCTTGCAGGGATCCACACCAAAAAAAAAGCTAGGGTCGGCAGTTTTTTCTAGAGTCGGTCGGGAAACAGGAAACACAGCATTTTTTTCCTGGGCCTGAGAAGCAGAGACAGAGTCTGTTTACCAGGCAGCCTGCCCAGCTGCTTTCTCTCCCTCACACATCCCAGAATAAACTAGAAAGGGTCTAATTGGATTTCTTTAGGAAGCGGTGCCAGCAAATATAGTACATTTGTTGTAGAAAGGATTCAGACTCAAAGCTGGAGGGCTTACAAGTATTTTGAGTGTTTGGGTTCACATTCAAAGTGAATCTGTGCTTAAATGCTCAAAATTTTTTTAGAATTATGTTATGATTATGTTATGATTAGGATAATGGACGGTCACCTTTATTTCAAAGAAACTTTTGAAAAGAAAAGATTTAAGGTATAATGTTTTGTACCATGTATGACTGTATGGATGTATTTAACTAAAACTTATTTTATTGTAAACTGTATCTTTTTAATATATTTTGTCTGACCCTTTCCCCATGACCTCAATGAAAAGTGGTCATGAAATAAAACCACTGCAACAGTAATTATAAAATACTGTAAAATGTAGTACAAGGGTAACCGTAGTAGTGCTAAAAAAATGAGGCAACCAAAAGAGCTACTGTACTATTTTTTTAAGAGTCACTGGCACGTCACTATTACCTTTACTGTGACTCTTACTAGCTATAATTTTAACCTGTCTGCCCTTAAGGAGCATGCTGTTACATAAAAGGAGATAGAAGAGGAACTTTATTGCAAGACAGTTGCAGGTATGTATGGCAACATATGTATAATGATATACTGCAGAATCATTGAGGACACTCAATACGATAGTCTTAATTTGTTGCCTCATTTAAGCTGATGTACCCAAAGTGACCACTAAGTGTGGGCCAAATTGTGGCTTATTGCCCCATTTTGCGGACACCACAGGACAGATACGTCCCCAAACATGCATCAATGTACACATGTACACCACTCAGCGCAACACTAAAAAAAACCCACGCCTTTTGAGCCGTCCTTATCTCCAGTACCCACATTGGACAGTATAAAATCAATTAAAAGAAATGGCGTGTTCTCACACCCACCAACCCGCCGTTTTTAGATACTATCTGGACGGGGAAGGTCGTATTTTTCCGAGCAGAAACTTGGGTCAGCGGTATTGTGTGGGTTTGACATGATGGATACGGACATGTAAAGTTAGCCGCCTGTTGGGCCCGATAGTGGGGAACGTTGCTGGTCCCATATGTCACTGTAATGATGTATCCTAGTCTGGGTGTGTAGCCTGGGTACCATCCGGATTTTTGCTCCGCATTTGTTACCCTTGAAAAAATCATGACATGAGCGTTGTGAAGCGAAAATCCAGATGGTACCCATGCCAGGCTATGGGCGTGCTCAGTTTTGGAAAAGGACTTCCCTGCTCTTGCTACCCTGAAGAAGAAAAAAATGTCTGGAGATGGTTAACTGTGCCATCCTTTTGGAAAAGGGGGTCCCTGCGCTTGCTATCATGAAGAAAAAAACTTTGGCCTGATAGTGATAGTAGGGAACGTTGCTGGTCCCATATGTCACTGTAATGATGTATCCTTAAGCCTGGGTGTGCTCAGTTTTGGTAAAGGGGGTCCCTGCTCTCGCTATCCTGAAAAGAAAATGTCTGGTTAACAGTGTTACATTCATTCTGATGCAAAGATACAGTCATTTTTTTGGCCGAGTGCGCTGATTGGTTCGGTGTATTTTTTAGCAGCAGTGAGAGCAAGTAGCCCAGTTACAAAGTGTATGGCACCCAGGCTAAATGTACCTCCATGCTTGGATGTGACGAACAGTCAAACTTGCCCACCCGACCATCTGGCCATGATGACCGCTTT